CCTATAAATGCCCCTTTGGGATTTTTGGAAACATCTGGAGAAGAACTGCTGCATGACAAGATTCCCTTGCTCTAATATTACATGGAGACGATGACTATAAACAGATTGTAGTGGTCTATGCAGGCTGTAGCAATCTTGCTAATTTTGTGCTAATTGTATTCTTCAGCACCACAGACCTCAGCTGGATGCAATACCACAATAAGTGGAAAGGAATTCAATTGACCTCTATTATACAGGTAGGGCCTGATCCTTCTTGTGATATCTTCTGTCATGATAATCTATAATCCTCCTACATACTAAGCCAAGTTTTTGTCTGTAGAAGGTACTTGCAAGATTTTATGCAGAAGCAGGTACTCGCTTGAGAAAAATACTTCAAAGCCAAAATCATTATTCTTCCTCACATTTTTATAGAAGAATCCCAAATTAGTAAATTTATTTCACTCTTTGCAGTTGGTGTTGTCTGCTAACACCACAGATTGAAGCTGATCTAGTTATTGTTTTCCCCATTTTGTATAAGATGACATGACATGCTAATTCCTCAATATACATAAAATGCTACACATTTCTATTGCCAAGCAATAAACAGTAACAAAGTACATGGAAGAAAACTGCATACTGTTTTAGTATTGTATTCCAACACAGCTAGTGCTTATATCATATTCTTAGAATTGCTTAGTTGTAATATATAATGTGGACTTTTTAAAAATAGATACAATTCCTGAAAGGACAAAGTAATGGGGCAAACCAGCAGACAGCCTATCCCAGCTGCTTGAGACTTGTGTTGGAGTGGTCCTTGAGGTTCCCCAGACGTATCGTCTTGGGGGATTTCAACATCCACGCTGATGCAGACTCTTGTTCCTTAGCGGCTATGGACCTAGTGTCTACCATGGAAACACTAGGACTCTTGCTTTGTAGTACTGGGCCCATGCATCAGGCGGGACACACGCTAGATTTGATTTTCAGTGCAGGAATTCAAGTGACCCAAGCCTCCACGACTGAGATTCCATGGTCGGATCACTGCGCCCTGACAGCCCGGTTGGAGCATGCCTACCCACCCTGTAAGGGAGCCGAGCCAATTTGGGCTCGCCCAAGGAGACTTATGGAACCCAGTAGGTTCAGGAATGCTCTGGAGCCTACCAGCGACTCGATCGATGTGCAGGTGGACACATGGAACATTAGGCTATCCAATGCACTCGACGGGATCACCCCTAGACGCCCCCTTCGACCCTACCGAAATCGGTCTCCTTGGTTCACCGAGGAACTTAGACTGGTGAAGTGGGAAAAGAGACGGCTAGAAGGCGTGTGGCAAGAATTCCGTGACGGAGCATCAAGATCAGCTTATGAGGCATTTAGGGAGTCCTATGAGCATGCTATGACCAAGGCAAAGCGAGTATATTATGCTTCTTTGATAGCGTCGGCAAAATTGTTCAAAATAATTCGATCTCTAACGACGGTTCCTACCGTCCCAAAAAGTGGTGATCAGGCCCCTTTAGCCGAGGTTTTTCAGAGCTGTTTTGCAGATAAGATCTCGCTACTTCGCCGGGATCTTCCAGCCACAATTGATACCGTGAAAGAACTTGAGACTCCGTGGCCACTTGCTGGGCCCGTCCTCGACCGGTTCATCCTGCTGGACACAGAGGCTGTCGATAGGCTTATAGCTGCAGCTAGACCGACCACTTGCTCCCTCGATCCGTGTCCCTCTTGGTTGGTGAAATCCTGCTTGGAGGGATTACGTGACCCTCTGTTGAAGATTATATTTTTTAAAATAATTTTTTTATTAACCACAAAAGAAATGCTATATACGTATATATTACGTGACCCTCTGTTGAAGATTATAAACAGCTCCCTTGAGCAAGGAGTTTTTCCAGAGGGTTTAAAAGAGGTTGTGGTCTCTCCCCGGCTGAAGAAACCAGACTTAGATTGTTCGGTTCCCTCCAGTTACCGCCCAGTTTCTAATCTCTCGTTCCTGGGCAAGGTGATTGAGAGGGCAGCAGCGGAGCAGTTGCAGCAATTCCTACACGACACAGCCGCACTAGATCCCTTCCAGTCCGGCTTCCGTGCGGGGCATGGGACAGAGACTGTGCTGGTCTCCTTCACGGATCACCTTCGATGCCAGCTTGACCAGGGCGGGTCGGCGCTGCTTGTGTTATTGGATATCACAGTCAACCACAATCTTTTGACCCAGCGCCTTGCTGCTGTTGGAGTCAGGGGGACAGCTTTAAATTGGCTGTCCTCCTTTCTTCACAACTGTGGACAGCGAGTGGAGAGGGGAGGCCTGGTCTCTGAGAGGTCCCCTCTATCTTGTGGGGTTCCTCAAGGGGCCATTCTCTTCCCTCTGTTGTTTAACATTTATATGCGACCACTTGCTCAGCTGGTTCGAGGTTTTGGGCTTGAGTGTTACCAGTACGCTGATGACACTCAGCTTGTGCTGAAGATGGAAGGCCGACCGGACTCTGTACCCGATTATTTCCATCAGTGCCTCGAGGCCGTTACTGGATGGCTGCGTGCCAGCAGGTTGAGGGTGAATCCAGCAAAGATGGAGATCCTATGGCTGGGTCAACCGGGCAGTGGGAATATCCAGCTGCCTACCCTGGATGGCAAGGCACTACGCCCATCATCATTGGTAAAGAGTCTGGGAGTCCTTTCGGACCCTCTGCTGACGATGTAGGCCCAGGTCTCCGCCGTTAGCAGAACCGCCTTTTTTCATCTGGGGTAAACTGTGGCTTACAGATTTCATGTAGCTGAACAGTGATATTTCTATCCCCCCATGTGCCCCAAATATGGGGGGAAATTCCCATAAGCTTTTTTCAAAGCAGACATCAATTCAGAAGTTAGTTAGAGGGCACAGGCTATTTTATTCTTAATAGGGGGAAAAGTTGCATGTTTATATGTGTGTGTGGTATAGAATGTGAAGGTCTTCAAATCCACTGCAATGTGATCCCAGATCTATCCCCTGCACCTCTGGATTAATTATCGGCAAAGAGTATTCAGGTAGCATCTTCTATTCTAGTTATTTTCACTGCCTTAAAGTGCCAGAGGAGCTGGAATTGAAAAAATAATTTGCAACTTTCAACATTTTCTAAATATTTGCAGTTTGTTGTAATTGTAAAGTGATGAAATAAGATTTGAAATCTAACATTCAGTTTGTAACACTTTATAGTGAAGAAGCATTATTTGCAGTGTTTCCCATTGTTAATGAGTAAGAAAATCTGTAGTTATCGCAAGCTTCTTTTAAAACTTCCCTTTGAAAGTTCATCCTAATATCATATGTTTAGACTTTCTGATTCAAAGTAGCTATCTTATGGTTGGCTTCTCATGTTCAGTTGGTACTGTCACCACTGCTTCTGTTTTCCTTATGATACACACTATAAAGGATGGCAGCTGAATTCATATGAGTGATTGATGCGATTTTTTTTCTTTTTAAATACGAGAAGTATTTTTTAATTAAGGTCCGTTTTGTTGTAGACACTAGTAGTTCGCGCACATACCGCAATGAGCGTGTGTGTCGTGTACTGGCATGCCTCGGGAACAACTGTGCTCAGTTTCCGCTCTGTAGCTAACCTGTATGGTTCTGTTCTGTGCTTTAAAAATGTTTAAGACTATCAACTCACCCTCCGCATGTGAGGTTCGCTCAATGATACGGTTTTTGTCAGCAAAGAACCTGCCTGCTGCAGAAATTCATTGACAGATTTGTGAAGTGTACGGTGATACTGTTATGAGTGAAAGCAAAGTGCGTAAGTGGGTACGACAATTCAAAGATGGCCGTGACAACGTCCATGATGAGAACCGCTCCGGTCGCCCTTCTTTGAATACAGACGATTTGGTGGCTTCAGTTGAAGCGAGGATTCGTGAGAACAGGCGCTTCACAATAACAGGTCTCTCAAACAAATTTCCTGACGTGTCGAGATCAGTGCTTTACAACATTGTTTCTGAACACCTAAAGTTTAGGAAACTGTGCTCCCGTTGGGTCCCGAAACTCCTAACAGAGGACCACAAAAACCAAAGATTTGAGTGTGCGATGAAGTTCTTGACTCGTTATCACGAAGAAGGTGACGGCTTCTTGAGTCAGATCGTAACTGGAGATGAAACATGGGTTTCGCATATCACGCCCAAATCGAAACAACAAAGCATGGAATGGAGACACACACACTTGCGTGTAAAGGTGAAGGCCAAACAGACTCTGTCCCAGCGCAAAATCATGGCTTCGGTGTTTTGGGAATAGGCATGGTGTTTTGTTGGTCGACTTCATGCAACGAGGAACCACTATCAATGCAGAAGCATACTGCCAAACCCTGAGAAAGCTACGCAGAGCGATTCAAAACAAAAGATACAGCATGCTGACAAAGGGAATTGTCCTTCTCCATAACAATGCAAGACCTCACACTGCAGGTCAGACCCGCAATTTATTGGACAGTTTTGACTGAGAAGTTTTAGACCACCCACCCTACAGTCCTGATCTTGCGCCGAGCGACTACCATCTGTTCCTCCACCTCAAACAACACCTCAGTGGCAACCGTTGCAATGACGATGACGTGAAAACGGCAGTGAACTCTTGGTTATCGGAGCAGGCAGCAAGTTTTTATGAAGAGGGTATTTTAAAATTGGTTCAGAGGTATGATAAGTGTTTGAACAAACTTGGCAACTATGTCGAAAAATAGAGTGAAGTATGTACTTTCTGAAAATAAATTTACTTTTTTGAAATAAACTTTCGTTGTGTACTTATGTTCCAACGGACCTTACTTAAAAAATACCCCTCGTACATAGTTGCAACTAAGTAAAGTGCCACCACACAAATTCTGTAAATTGTAATTTATTCCCTTCCAAGCTATTTTATGGTTGGTTTCTCACATTCAGTTGGTTCTGTCACCACTGCTTGTTTTCCTTATGATACCACAATATAAAGGATGGCAGCTGAATTCATATGAGTGATGCCAGAACATTGATCTGATTTTTTTTAAAAAAAATACATGGTTGTACTAAGTAAAGTGCCACCACACAAATTCTGTAAAATTGTAATTTATTCCCTTCCAAGAATCTAGAATATCCCTTCAATAACAAATTAACAGAATGTTTTTCATGTGGAGGAGAAATATAAGGCAGTCGTACTACCAGATGACACCAGTGGAAACCCAGATGTTCTGTTTAATGCGATAGTGCAAGTTAACAGCAAGTTGCTAGAAATGACAACACCTTCATTTGGATTAGAAAAGTTTTACAGAACAATCTGCAGCAATAAGAACTTTGAAAAGATGCTGTCCAAAATGGCCCACACATATTTACAAACCCCAGAGAGCAAAGAAAAAAAAACCACAGAATATGAAAATATAGGTTTCCTATTTCCACCCCACAGGAGTCACTGCTGCTGTTTGAAAGGCTTTGTGAGATGGTTTCAAGTTTTCAGAGTTCATCTTTTTCTCGCAATAAGGTGTACCTATGTTCACTGGGTGCTAGTTTCTGGAATGAACTCTCCGGTGGGCTGCTTACTATATCTTGAAATGGCTGAAAATAAGAAAAGAAATATTAAATGTACAAGATAATAATTGGAATTCCGTTGGTAACATCCACACGCACAACTTGCTGTTACATGTACATGGCATCTTTTTTGGAAGAGGCACAAGAGGTTAATCAGTACACCCTTGCCCACTATGCAGTCCCCCTCCACCGGGCATCTATCAACTCCTGCAAATAATTGGATGCAGAGCATCACAAGAAATGTCAGAAGAAATACAGCTGAGACAAATTGTAGCTTGTACTACATGGCTGCCTCCCTTTTCCCCTCTTCCTCTTTTGCCCATTACATAGCCATAGCAGTGCCTCATGAGTCTCGACATCTACAAGAAGAGGAAGAGGGAGAGAAGTGAGTGCGTAGCATTAATATTCCACACACATCATGCTGGATTAGCCAATGATTACTACCACATTACACTAAATTTAGGACACATGCCCCCCGGCACAAAATTGAGGCTCATAAAAGGGGGTGCGCATTCTAGAATTATGGGCATCCTGGAAAGCATTCCCAACCTGCCCTCTAAAATTTTCTTTCATGTTGCCACCTCTTCCTCTTCCTACTGCTAACCTGGGCACACTGCCCTCTACCGGGTGTGTTTTGAAGGGAGAAAATCATAAGATGGTGGGTCTCAGAGAGTGCGGGAGCTGCATGGTCCCTACTTCTCTTTATATATCTCTCTTCTTATCTTACCTGGTGGCATTGATAATGGAGGTCAGCAGTGAGGGGAGGGGGGGGGGGAATGGAGAGCTGCTGCCATCTCACACTCCTGGCACATAGGGCTTCCTTCCTCCATCTCCCCACCCCCTCACCACTGACCTCCACACACAGAGTAAGAGAGGCCATGCAACTCCTTTGCTGTATGACTTGCTGCTGTTTTGTGATCCTCTTCCTTCAAAACAAACCTGGGCGAGGGGGCGAATTTGGTGGGAAGAGAAGGAGGCGGCAACATGAAAGGAGGGGAAGTGCTTAGGAAGTGGAGGTAGCATGAAGGGCAAGTTGGGAAGGCTTTCCAGGGACTGGCTAGGACAGTTGGGCAGCCGGATAAGGAAAGTTGGAGTTGGGGCTAAACTTTTTGGGCCAAATAAAGTGGGTGCGTCTTGCAATGGAAAATTCATTTTTTCAAAAATCAGAGCTCCTAAAATCGATTGTGCCCTATATTCAGTGTAATATAGTATTATTAGGGGGAGACTCATCTAGTGGTCAGAGTGGCCAGAGAAGTAGGCATCTGCAATGTATATTGTTAATTTAAGATTTACACACAATGTACATGAGATTTTAAAAATACCAAAAAGCACTATATAAATGTTAAATATTATTGTGACTATAAATGCGCTATCTGGCACTATCCAAAAGTCTTAATAAAGAGTTCTTCTGAAATTATTCTGAGGGAAATGTATCTACGGTACTTATAGTTTCAACAAACAGAAAATCCAGAGGGGAAAATATTAATCATGTTTTTACGGAACGCTTTAAAATTTCAGAGGCATATAAGATCCTGACTGTTTCTGATCAAACAAAATGAGCTAAATAATCCAAATGAGCTGACATTAACTGGATTAATTGGAAAAAAAGTATTGAAAAGTGCTTGTTTGCAACAGGGCTGAGATGATTATTTTTCTGTTAGTGTTGGTTATTAAAATTTAAAAACAGTACTTTATCTTATCTTATTATTACAAGACTAACAAGTTTATTTTTTTTATTATTATTATTTAGCACACTTTTTGTGCCTGTGTTATAAATATCATTTCCTAATTGGTTCGATCATAAAAACAGGGGGAAATTTTATTAAACTGTAAAACCTTTGTTTTTGCGGGACATCCTGCAGCAAATTTTTTAATGAATATCTCATTGAGTCTCAACCAATTCAACATAGTTTGTAGCAGCCACAAAATCAAAGCTTCTGGAGTATAACAACTACTTTCAAAGTAAGTACCACACAGTTAAACAAAAAATAACACTTTCAAAGCAAGAACAGAAAATGCTTCAAACTTTGTTACATAGTGTTATCAGTCATCAAACTAGTTTTTAAAAAAAGAAATGATTTGGCAACCTTATTACTTGGTAATAGAGTTTCTTGTAACAACCAAGGAGCAGCATTTTACTAGTAATGCAGTTACTTCCAAACTACATTTGGAAGTACTGTATATACTCGAGTATAGCCTAGTTTTTCAGTCCTTTTTTTAGGCTGAAAAAGTCTCCCCAGCTTATACTTGAGTCAGTGTTATTTATTATTTTACTTTTTGTTGTTGTTATTATTATTACATTTATTATATTATTGTTGTTATTATTACATTTATTATTTTACTCTATTTATTATTGTTATTGTTACATTTATTATTTTACTGTATTTTTATTATTACATTTATTATTTTACTCGATTATTACTGTTATTACATTCCATTATTTTACTCGATTATTATTATTATTATTATTATATTATTATTTTACTCTATTTATTATTATTGGAGGACATGTAAGCATATCTACACTAAAGAAGGTTAGAATAATGGTTTAATCAGAGTTGGAGAGTCTTATCTTGAATTACAGTTTTATGTAAATATTCAAAAACATTTAACCTACCGATGCCTAAATTAATATAATTTTATTGGTATCTATTTTTATTTTGAAACTAACCAATAGCTGCTGCATTTCCCACCCTCGGCTTATATTCGAGTCAATCCATTTCCCCATTTTTTTGTGGTAAAATTAGGTGCCTCGGCTTATATTCAGGTTGGCTTATACTCGAGTATATACGGTAACCACAACACCAATTCATCTCACCTAATTAAATTTCACTTTGATATGCAAAAACTCAAGATCCCCTTATTTTTACAGCAAAATCTGCATCTGGGCAATATTGTTTTTTAACCACCAGTGCAGACACACATCCTGAACTAATCATTCTCATCCTGCAATATCTAACTGAAGTGTGAACTGAAAGCTCAGATTGACTAGAAAACTGCAAGAGTCTAGTTCAGGGATCCCCAAACTTTTTAAACGGAGGGCCACATCACAGTCCCTCAAACTGTTGGAAGGCCGGATTATAATTTGAAAAAAATATGAATGAATTCCTATGCACACTGTACATATCTTATTTATAATCCAAAAAACCACTGTAAAACAATACAATAATTAAAATAAAGGACAATTTTAACAAATATAAACTTATTAGTATTTCAATAGGAAGTGTGGCCCTGCTTTTGGCTTATGAGATAGGATTGTTGTTGTTGTTGTTGTTGTATGCTTTCAAGTCGTTTCAGACTTAGGTTGACCCTGACCAAGGGCCGGGTAAATGACTTTGGAGGGCCGTATCAGGCCCCCTGGCCTTAGTCTGAAAACCCCTGGTCTAGTCTCATCCAGAAGAGAAGCAAAGAGGTTCAATTCTTCTTACCTGACCAGGTGCTATATCAGTTGGATCTGGACCATGGTGAAATTCCCTGTGCAGTTTCCCCGAATGCAAATCAAGTACAAATTGCTTTAGTTTGCCATGAACCCTGAAACAAGAATGGTACAAATCGAAGTATTGAAACTGATTTGAGTCTGAAGTCAAATACAAAAGAATGGGCATTTTAGACATCCTTAAGCTTTTTCTTTGAACCTTCATTTTTTTTTTTTAGAATCAAAGAGTTGAGAGAGACCTCATGGGCCATCCAGTCCAACCCCCTGCCAAGAAGCAGGAATATTACATTCAAATCACCCCTGACAGATGGCCATCCAGCCTCTGTTTAAAAGCTTCCAAAGAAGGAGCCTCCACCACACTCCGGGGCAGAGAGTTCCACTGCTGAACGGCTCTCACAGTCAGGAAGTTCTTCCTCATGTTCAGATGGAATCTTCTCTCTTGTAGTTTGAAGCCATTGTTCCGCGTCCTAGTCTCCAGGGAAGCAGAAAACAAGCTTGCTTCCTCTCACATATTTATACATGGCTATCATATCTCCTCTCAGCCTTCTCTTCTTCAGGCTAAACATGCCCAGCTCCTTAAGCCGCTCCTCATAGGGCTTGTTCTCTAGACCCTTGATCATTTTAGTCGCCCTCCTCTGGACACATTCCAGCTTGTCAATATCTCTCTTGAATTGTGGTGCCCAGAATTGGACACAATATTCCAGGTGTGGTCTAACCAAAGCAGAATAGAGGGGTAGCATTACTTCCCTAGATCTAGACACTATGCTACTATTGATGCAGGCCAAAATCCCATTGGCTTTTTTTGCCGCCACATCACATTGTTGGCTCATGTTTAACTTGTTGTCCATGAGGACTCCAAGATCTTTTTCACACGTACTGCTCTCGAGCCAGGCATCGTCCCCCATTCTGTATCTTTGCATTTCGTTTTTCCTGCCAAAGTGGAGTATCTTGCATTTGTCACTGTTGAACTTCATTTTGTTAGTTTTGGCCATCTCTCTAATCTGTCAAGATCGTTTTGAATCCTGCTCCTGTCCTCTGGAGTATTGGCTATCCCTTCCAATTTGGTGTCATCTGCAAACTTGATGATCATGCCTTCTAGCCCTTCATCTAAGTCATTAATAAAGATGTTGAACAGGACCGGGCCCAGGACGGAACCCTGCGGCACTCCACTTGTCACTTCTTTCCAGGAAGAAGAGGAAGCATTGGTGAGCACCCTCTGGGTTCGTCCATTTAACCATTTCCTGATCTACTTCACCATAGTTTTGCCTAGCCCACATTGGATTAGTTTGTTTGCCAGATTCATATTTTCCTTTCTACGATGAAAGCAACTTACAAACTTACAAAGACCCACTGGAATACAGGTTTAAGAGCCTGCTTAAAAGCTGTCAAAAAGGGAACCAATGAATGTCTCTCTAAAAGCTTCTTACCACCAGCATCTGCTGGAGAAATTATGAGGATGGCCTTCCAACTAGGTACAAATCATGTGGAATTCAAAGATCTTTTCAAACCATACTGCTATTGTTTTACTACCTTTAGTCCTTCTACCTAGTTGGTCTCACTCTCCTAGTAATTTTTATCATTCCAAGCATTTTATACTTATATTTTTTTTCTCATTTGCTTTTTCAACTTTCCCCCTCTAACAAGGCATGAGGGGTTTGAGAGTTAATATGGAATCAGAGGAAACCTAGTATTTCTCCATCCTTTAGGACACAAACCAACACACACACCAAATAAACAGAAAGAGATGGCATTTAACATAGTTGTCCCTGAATACTACGTATTAAAAACTCATAATTACTCCAATTCGAAACAAAATGTAAGCTCAATATACTTGGCGTGCACTAACCATACTTCACAATTTCCAGATATTTTTAAAAGACAATAATACAGAGTAGGGAGCAGAAGTGAGGCCTGGGGTTGGCTACCCTATCTTTTTTTCCCCTCCTTATGATCGGTTAAGGGCACAGCAAGCATTTTTTTCTGTTCATTAATTCCCACAGAGCGAGGCTACCCAATAACTTCATTGTCTGTTTCTTCCAAGCCCCCTGCTCACCACAATACAGCAGAGACCAGCAGGTGCCAAGTGCACAGTTCAGAAATACAAATGACTGTCAGGTAGCTGTATTGACAAAAATGCCTTTGAAAGCTTCTCCTGTGCTGGAGTAATTGCACAAACACCAGAGATGAACACCAAAGGGATATCAATTTAAATTTCTTCTGAGGACATTTACTGTTCCTCCACGCCAAACACTGCTGGATTACAGCAGGTAGTGCTGTGTGTCTGGGAATTGCCACAAATCTTAAGGTAAGTGTCTCAACTACTACTGAATGCAAATTAAAACCAAAGGTATCCAAAACACCCTATCTTAGCACAGTGTTACGACAATCTTCTGACAACAAAAGAACCCCCGCCAAAAATGCACCCTGCATGTGTTCCAGTCTCTATACTAACAAATGTAAAATAAGATTGTTAAAGGGAGAGGCCATGATAACACGGAAGCAAGTATTACTGACATATTATATGCTGCTCTGTAATATATGTCACAGTAAACTCCAAAACAGCAGTGGTGAACATGCTAAATATTTATGATTTATTGTACCTATATTTTGTACTGGCCGCCCCTGCCACGCGTTGCTGTGGCCCACATGGGGGTTCTGTGTGGGAGGTTTGGCCCAATTCTATCGTTGGTGGAATTCAGAATGCTCTGTGATTGTAGGTGAACTATAAATCCCAGCAACTACAACTCCCAAATGTCAAAATTCTATTTTCCCCAAACTATACCAGTGTTTACATTTGGACATATTGAGTATTCGTGTAGAGTTAAGTCCAGATCCATCATTGTTTAAGTCCACAGTGATCTCAGGATGTAGGTGAACTACAACTCCAAAACCAAAGGACACTGCCCACCAAACCCTTCCAGTATTTTCTGTTGGTCATGGGAAAACTGTGTGCCAAGTTTGGTTCAATTCCATCATTGGTGGGGTTCAGAATGCTCTTTGATTGTAGGTGAACTATAAATCCTAGCGACTACAACTCCCAAATGACAAAATCAATTTTTTGAGTGAAGGACATACATTGGGTTGTTAGGTGTATTGTGTCCAAATTTGGTGTCAATTCATCCAGTGGTTTTTGAGTTCTGTTAATCCCACAAACGAACATTACATTTTTATTTATATAGATTTCTTCTAAGGACCTCCCTTACATAAGGACTGCTCTGTAACTAACCATGTAGTTTCAAACCATTTCTTGGAGTGAAATATAGCTATCTACAATTCATAATAATGATTAATATTTTCAAACAATAATTCACAAGATGTATAATAAATTATTCACACCACATTGCAACTTCTTTTATTTTGATAAGCTATGGGCTAGGCTGATTTTGCCACAATAAATCACATACCTGCATTGCTCCATTTTCTAATTCAATTGTACAATATTATAACTGTAATTATAATAAGACTCTGTTGGGCTTATGCTCAGAATTAGGATAAACACTATCATGATAAAAGGCTAGTCAAGTAATTATGATAATGGCTATGTCCCACATTTTATTTACATGTGATGCTGTGGACTGTTAAGTCCTGGATGTGTATTAGCCCTGGTTATTATGGAGGCTGGGTAATGAAAATTAATCCTGCAGAGTATCTGTACCATTTTATAGTTAATTTGGATAATTTCTATCAACACGCCTTAAATTTGCAGCCAGGCCTTTTACTATTGTGGGCCTCTAAACATGAGACTTATTAGTTTGTTTCCCTCTTTTCTGCTTTTAAAATCATCTGAAAATCTTATCTCTTTTAAAATCCACAGTGGCTCCTTGAACTAGAATCCTGTTGGTGACATGCTGCCATAATAACCTCCCATTATGCAACAGTATGTCCTTTTTTTTTGCTTCTTGCTAAACACTGCAGTTGGGGCAAGATGATGTCTCTTCCTTTAAAAAAAACTGCTACAAAATTTCAGTCAGATGGTGCCCAAGAGATTCCCATCTCCACTTGGAAGGTATGCAACCCTATGCTGCATAACTGTAATTATAAATGTCCAATGGAATAGATGTCCATTTTACTGGTATAGATTTCCACTCCATCAGCATGATACAGATATACCTCAATTAACGAAGACTTTCATTTTAGCAAGTCAAAGTCAGTCTACAGGAGCCTGTAAAGAATCGTAATATTACTGCCACCAATTTATATTGTGACGAGGGAGGGAGACTATTTCTTTATTTAAGAAAAACCTCTTTACTCTTATAAGGATTAAGTTTCTTCTTTTATATTAGCTGGGACTTTCTGTGTGCTGTTTAACCTTTGTACAGGCACTGAGACACACTTCTGTATAACTAAGTAACACAGTTTATTTATAACTTCTGGCTCCAAACGCTTGTGGTTACATTTGTGGTTACATTTGTTGCAATCTTGAGGCTTACAGTCAGTATAATATACTTGGTTTACTTCTCTGAAATAGACTTTCAGTGTTTCACATTCACAAACATGTTTCTTGCTTACACACTCTTGACTGAAATTATATTCTGACTAAAGTACCACTGGCTTTCTTTATGTTCCTAAAACTTGAGCTCCATTTAACTAACTGCTTCTATATATCAGAAGTCTTTAACACATCTTCATAACTGCTTATTTTTAACAGGAGTTCCTAACTCTTTCCTCTCACAGAAGTTCCTAACTATCTCTCACAAACAGGAATCCCTAACTAACTCCTTTGACTCTCTAACTGCTTATTTTTAAACTTTGGCTCCGCCCCTTTGGAATGTTTAGCTCTGCTCTCTCCAACTGTCATTTTGGCCTAGCAACCTTTTCAAATCCTGGGCCTACGCTAATCTGCATATGACCAATCGGCTTCCATATGCAAATGAATCCTGTCTCTGCTGTTGCTACCCTGTCTGTGCCTATTCTTCCCTGTCTGCCACATGTAAACATAGAGCTATACACCAAAAATTTAACATAGAGTAGCAATTTTGCTACTGAGCCCAACCCAAAACTCTTCTTTCTTGTCTTTTATCTAACTGGAAGGGTTTTATTTTATTTTATTATTATTATTTGCAGCATTACCTTTGGAAAAATATTGAAGGAGGCCTGAAGAAAAATAGACTTTCAGTATTGGGAGCTACTTGCAAACCTGATTGTTGAGAAAGGAATGTTCTATAACCAACATGGAAATTTAATGAGCTACATCCAGAGGAACAGAGAAATCTGTTCTGAGATTCTGTTGAGATTCTGAGAGGAAAAAAAAGCATGCTATTTGCTCTGGCTCAGTGACTGAGATGCAATGAAATATAATAGTGCTTTAAACATAGAAGGAAGCTGTGTTGATGAAACACAACTCCCATCAGCCCTCACCACTAGTGACATCTCTGGGTGATGTGAGTCGCAGCCCATCATCCGCTGGGGAGTCACATGCGTCCCCTTCATTACCTCCCTCCATGACTCTATGTCTCTTTAGATTACTATCATGTAGTACTCTAAGGATGAAAAGCAGTCACCAAACCAAATGAAGCGTTCATTGAAAAAATGTCTGCCACTTGTTTTACATCTTACATAAAGCAATAATATAGTTCATTCTCCACATACATACAACTATCCTTTCTCTTATTTTTAAAGGCTAGATGACAGATATATAAAGAAAGGTGTACTCACGCCAAATCACTGACGTCTGAGAAGACATACATGTGTTTAAAACTGTCAATAGCAATAACAGGACAGTCTGCTGGAGTCTTTTGAATGTGGAGGAGTGGATGTCTAAACTTATCACAATCAGCATGTAAAAAGTTGATGGTACCTTGAAATTCAAAAAGAAGTTTTAGGATACAAACGTAAGTCACAAACACTATAAAAATCTTTGCCTGGAATATCATGGCTATAAACATGAAAGGGCATTGCATTCTAACATCTTAGAAAATATAAAATAAATATTTTTTTGTAAGACCATTTTCTTAATTAACTTAATGTTAATCAATAAGTGTAATCAATTTTCTACACTAGCAGAATTTAAATGTAGCAGAAACAATAGTAACAATATAGATAATGCGCATAAAAAGTCTACATACAGTTCTACAGTATTATGTTGGCAAATATGGAAATTAACTTGTAATATGTTTGCAGTAAAGCGTTCCCTCACTTATTGTGGGGGTTCCGTTCCAGGACCACCCACGATAAGTAAAAATCCGTGAAGTAGAGATGCCATATTAATTTTAATATTTATACATTATTTTATGGATTTTATATACGAGGGGTATTTTTTAAGTAAGGTCCGTTTTGTTGTAGACACTAGTAGTTCGCGCGCATACCGCAACGAGTGTGTGCGTCATGTACCGGCATGCCTCGGGAAGAACTGTGCTCAGTTTCCGCTCTGTAGCTAACTTGTACGGTTCTGTTCTGTGCTTTAAAAATGTTTAAGACTATCAACTCATGTGCCGCATGTGAGGTTCGCTCAGTGATACGGTTTTTGTCAGAAAGGAACCTCCCTGCTGCAGAAATTCATCGACAGATTTGTGAAGTGTACGGTGATACTGTTATGAGTGAAAGCAAAGTGCGTAAGTGGGTACGGCAATTCAAAGACGGCCGTGACAACGTCCACGATGAGGACCGCTCCGGTCGCCCTTCTTTGATTACAGATTATTTGGTGGCTTCAGTTGAAGCGAGGATTCGTGAAGAGGGTATTTTAAAATTGATTCAGAGGTATGATAAGTGTTTGAACAAACTTGGCAACTATGTTGAAAAATAGAGTGAAGTACGTACTTTCTGAAAATAAATTTACTTTTTTGAAATAAACTTTCGTTGTGTACTTATGTTCAAAAGGACCTTACTTAAAAAATACCCCTCGTATTTTTTCTTACCCGCGCTTCCTTACCTTCCTCCCATCCCATCCCATCCCATCCCAAGGGCGCTTGCCTGCCTCTCTGGCCTCCAGAGCCACACAGGCAGCAGCAGGCCAGGGAGGCAGGCCTTCCCTGCTACACCTCAGGCCGACACATTTCCGGGGTCCCTGGCCTCCACTGGATGTAAATATTTAATATTTTTATTAATATTTTCAAAAATCCATGAAACAGCGAGTCCGCTAAAAGCGAACCGCAAAGTAGCGAGGGAACACTGTATACACTTTTTCAGCCAAGGGTTCAAGAAAAACCTAACAAACAATAATTGTGCCTACACAAGAAACATGCTTAAACTCATTCTCCATTTGAGTGTGGAGAAAACATGTTCCATCACTAACATTATTATGATCTTTCACTTTATTGACAAACAGCTGTTTGGTCATACACCCGAATTACTTTCCTTACCACCACTGCCCTACCACATCCACTATCTATGAAGCATGCTTATGCTTTAGTCCTGCGGGCTGCTTGTAAACCAAGGGGTTTGAGGCAGCCCTCAAAAAATGTAGAGGATGTAAAAGAAAGTACAGAAGAAGCAAGTGCTTTGTCCATGTATAACATGTGCCTGATATTACCCACTGCTAACCTACTTAACCCGCCTCCCACTAGTCCAGTGGTTCCCAACCTTTTTTTTTAACAGGACCCACTTTGACCAAGGTCCACTTGAACAGGGCCCACTTTGACCGGGGACCACTTTCCAACATTAGTACCAAAAGGGGTGGTGCTGGTCAGCTCTGTGGATAGGAGTGGAAATAAAATAAATAAAATAAAATAAATAGCTAAAGAGGAAGGAGGTTTGCGGATCAGATTTTTGTTCTCGCAGCCCACTACTGGGCTGCGGCCCACAGATTGGGAACCACTGCTGACTAGTCGCTACCGTGCCCATCATGTAACTTGGCGGGTGGGTTGTCACTGTGCACGCTCTTCTGTTTGGTGACTTGCGACAACCAAATAGCATCAGTGTCTCTCTAGTCTGAAAGAAGCAAAAGTCATTGTATCTTTTTTGCTGTGGTTCCAGTCATCACTGGCATGGAACAGAGACAAAGTGAGTGCAGCCACATGTCAATGCAACCGACACTTGCAGCACAATGAGCTGCAACTATTTGCTAGTTAACAGAGTTTTGTTCTTCGCTTCTGAAGATTGTAATGTACACAAAGTCAATTAACATGAAAGCCAACACCAACCTTTTTCACTTATTAACTGCCGTGCAACTTCCTGCTGGAACTTTTCTAAACTCTCAGTGTCATCTTTCATATGAAAGAGTATAAGAAAAGGAAGGCCTTCTTCTGCCAGTTCCTATGTAAAGAGGGAAGATTTTTTTTCAGTTTTCCTAATAGATTTTATTGACAGACAACTTTTGCTATCTTTTCGTATAGTTCTAAACTGGAAGTCAAACAATTATTGCATGACTTGCCACCGTTAAAGCTGCTTCTAAACTGTAGAATTAGTAGAATTTGACACTACTTTATCATGACTCAATGCTATGGAATCAAGGGAGTTGCCAAACAGTGCTCTTGTTTCCCAAATGACAACTCTCGGGGTTCTGTAGCATTGAGTCATGACTGCTAAATCTGCATTACTTCTACAGTGCAGATTGCACCCATACTCACCACTTATCAGGACCAAGTAACATTTTACTTGCTAAAATAGTTTCCCATGCTTATTCAGAGAAGCAAACCCATCTCTACCCCCCCCCCCAAAAAAAACACAATTTGAAGCTCCACCCAAATGTAACACACAAACTGCTTAATGCAACCATCTAGCTGATACCTTTGTTTTTAATATCTGAGAAGTAGGAAAGTTGAAAATCCTAGGATTTGTAACAAACTGGACAGTATATTATTAAGACAGAAAGTTTCATGCAGTTCAAGTGACAGCTTTCATCTGAAACACTAAATCAGGAATATCCTATCATATCATCATATTTAATTACTTATTAATTGCCCTCCATCCGGGAATGCTCTAGGCGATTTACAGCTAAATTGTAAAAGATAAAATACATAGATACAGAAATTAAAAATTAACAGAGATTGAATGCTCTAGTAAAAAGCCAGGTCTTAAGTGCTAGAGTAAAAGGTCCTAAGTCACACATGGCTCTCATATAGGGTGGCAAGGAATTTCATAAGGCAGGGGCAGAAATAGAAAAAGCCCTGCGTCTGGTAGTTTCCAAGTGCACTTCTCTAGGACCCGGTATGAAGAGTAAGAATAGAAAAGGTTTGGTCTGTGGGCCATGTGTGGTTCCTCAGGAGTGTTTTGTAAACTCTACAGCAAAAATAAAGTAAAATAAAATAATTAAATCTTCTTTGCTTTCAGATGACCTCTGGGAGCATTTTTGTGACCAGAATGTAATGTCTGGATATCTTCCCTTTTGCTAATAAAATTATTATGGGCTTAAAATGGCCCCAAGGACAAACACATGGTCAAAAAGCTTGCACATTCTGTAGATGGCATTTGAAGGCAAAAACTTGCTTTTATTTATTTATAGCCCCAGAGGTTTGGGGGGGGGGGGGGTAAAGTAGAGGGAGCACCTGTTCTTCTTTACTGTTTCAAGTATGTTGTATGTTATGTCTGCATTGTTTGTTTTTGATAAAGCCAATTGGCTAATCAATAAAATTGTTGTTGTTTCAAGTAGACAAATAAAGTAGTAATTATAATATAAGAGGAAGGACTCTTTCTCTTCTCCCATCCTGCCATACCACATCTACATTCCTTTTGAGTACTTTATTAGAAAAAAATAGTCAGAAATGAAAAACAATCTCTAGAGTTATCTTTCACTGGTCCAGATTTCCAGCAGGGAGACATACTGGACTTTCTTAGAGTTGTATGGATACAGGAAGAGAGTCTGAAAAAATGTTGCTAAGAAAAATGCCTATTTGGAATGACCTGTTAAGTAAATAAGAGCACAGAATAGTAAGAGCAGTTACAAAACTTTACACACAGTTATAATGATAAGTGGTGGTTTCTAAGGCTTAGAGTCTGACTGTGTTGTGGGAAAAGTACACGGGAAATTAATCATGAAGTCCAAAAGAGGCCAAAGTACCTCGCATCTTTCACATAGCAAAAGGCAAATTCAACACAGTTAACACATGCTGCAATTAATATGCAGTTTAATATTGTTGCAGTAAGTATTCAGTTTTATTTTTCTTATTAGGCAAATGTTGCTCAACAAAAATTGCCAAAGCTCTGCCATGACAGCATTTCCCAAAGGAGTCAAATGATTTCTATCATTTGCATGTTGTAATGCAGCCATAATTACATTTATCACTACTAGGAATGAACTTGTCTGTGCTTTTCCTGTACAAACAATTCCGTCTGGACCAGAGAAGCGCTCGGATTGGGAGGCGGGGGAAGGGAGGGAAAGGGGGAGTGCCCCTCTCTTCCCTGAGTGTCCCTCATTTTTACCTTCAATACTTTGCAACCTTTTCTGGCAGAAGTACATTTCTAGTTACTTCTATGCATGATTTTGAATTGAAAATCAAGCAGTGGATCCATATCGTGTTGGAATGGGAGGGCAAAAAATTGTCCATAGACATGGTGCAGTTACTTCCTCCTCCTTTTATTTAAGAAAATCACTAGACATTTCAGCTAATTTAGTTTTAAATGTGTCGTGGTGTTACTGTTCCAATGTTTATTGTTATTGCTTTAATGTTTATTGTTTTGCTTTATGAGTTTTATTGTTGTATTTGTTATGCTGTTGTTTTATTGAGGGCCTCGGCCTTTTGTAAGCCGCACCGAGTCCTTCGGGAGATGTTAGCGGGGTATAAATAAAGATAATAATAATAATAATAATAATAATAATAATTGGCTGAGATGGACAAACTGACAGTATTGATTAAGGAGAAATCCTTGACAAAATTCAAGAAAGAAAGACTGGGATATATTTACTACTTTTACACAACAAAGATGGAGACAATCTTTAATTCCTGGTTTTCGGATATAGAAAATTGTTATGAAAAGTGAAAGGCAGAAATAAAGTGATATTTAAAGGGACAAGCAAATAAAAAATTAAAATCAACAGGCAATGAGCAGGAGGCTTAAAGATCAATTAAGTATATGTTTGTATAGAATGTGTGTATGTTGTAGATAAAGGTGTGTTCGTTACTGTTGTATGTAATGAAAATTGCTTTTTAGTTTTAATTTCATTTTCCACCGTTGTATTTTATAAGTATGTTTTTTTTGTATGTTTGAATAAAAATAATTTTTTAAAAAACAACAAAAAAGAAATATCACTAGACATTTAACAACCGGTTTTCAGTGACCCGCATGCATTAGATTTGATAAGAATTAACACTTAAACATGAAAATGAAGAAAAATGGAAGAATCAGGCACCTACTTCTCCATTCTCAAATGTAATTTCACGAACAAGAGGAACACATTTATCTTGAGTCCATGCATAAGCCAAGTCAAAATTTGTCATTGAACCCAAGTAAACCATATCGGGAGCGTTTTCCTGTTAAAAAGAAATTTTCAAATTATCCATAAACAAACACAAAGGAAGAGTTTGTTGCACTTAAACACAACCAAGAAACACATGTTAGTTCTGTAACTGGATCTCACAGAACCCTATGTCTAGCAGATTAGATTACAATGACTCCTATACTTTCCTTCAGCAGTCAATGGCACTGAGAAAGGAGCATGAAAACTCAAACAGGTGGCTGCTATAATATATGGTGACAAAGCCTAGACATGATAGCAGGAAAAGCTCTCACTGGAGAGTATTACTCTTGTACCTGCAGGATTCGTATCTGCAGTTTCACCTAACCACAGTTGACAAAATATGTCCTTTCTAGAAATTTTCTAGGTCCTCCAGGCGATTCCATTGTATGCTTCCGATGGTAGTTAACAGAGCTGTCATGGAGGACCTAGCATCCAAGATGACTCTATGATAACTTCTGGAAGCAGTTGCTAATTTCAATACAGCTTGGTATTACTCAAGGTTTCCTGTTTCAGCGTAAATGCAGGAACATTTCCAACTGTAGACATAGGACCATACTATATATCTGCATCTTCTTCCGCAGTGAGGGCATTGGTTTCCAGGTGGAAGGCGGTCTCGGTCGGGGTTGGCTTGACGCGCTTTCCTCTTGGCACGCTTCTCCCTTTAGCCCTCCATTCGTGTCTCTTCAAATTCTGCAGCACTGCTGGTCACAGCTGACCTCTAGCTAGAAAGGTCAAGGGCCAGGGCTTCCCAGTTCTCGTGTCTATGCCAGAGTTTTTAAGGTTGGCTTTGAGCCCATCTTTAAATCTCTTTTCCTGTCCACCAACATTCCGTTTTCCGTTCTTGAGTTCAGAGTAGAGCAACTGCTTTGGGAGACGGTGGTCAGACATCCGGACAACGTGGCCGGTCCAGCGGAGTTGGTGGCAGAGGACCATCGCTTCAATGCTGGTGGTCTTTGCTTCTTCCAGCATGCTGACGTTTGTCCGCCTGTCTTCCCAAGAGATTTGCAGGATTTTCCGGAGGCAGCGCTGATGGAATTGTTCCAGGAGTTGCATGTGATGTCTGTAGACAGTCCACGTCTCAAAGGCATATAGCAAGGTTGGGAGGACAATAACTCTATAAACAAGCACCTTGGTATCCCTAGATGTCCCGGTCCTCAAACACTCTCTGCTTCATTTGGAAAAATACTGCGCTCGCTGAGCTCAGGCGGTGTTGTATTTCGGTGTCTATGTTGACTTTGGTGGAGAGGTGGCTGCCAAGGTAGCGGAAATGATCAACATTTTCTAATGTTGCACCATTAAGCTGTATCACTGGAATTGGAGAAGGGTTGGCTGGTGTCTGCTGGAACAGCACCTTGGTTTTTTCAATGTTCAATGTCAGGCCGAGCTTCTCGTATGCTTCTGCAAAGGTACAGAGCAAGAAGAGGGCTCCACAGCCACATACGAACCCACAAGAATATTGGAAGACAATCCTCCTCGGAAAACGAGGGATTGCCTAAGTAAGTAAAAGTTCTATATATGTGTTCTATTATATCATTTGATGTCACCACAGACTTAGTCCAAAGGTAATATTAATGCAGTTGTGCCAAAATACAATATCAAAGTTTTGAATCCAAAATATGGCAAGTGTTAGGAGGCATTTAGTAAAGCTTATTAGTTCTGCAACACAACCATTTTGAATGTTTTAAAACGATTAAATAAAAGAAATGTCCTAAGGATCTTTGAGATAAAATATGTGTGGTACAATGGTGTTTTATAGTAGCACAAAATTTCACAATACATAACACACCGAAGTTCACCACTTATTCAAGCCACCTCTCTTTCTTGATTAGAGATTCTATAATTCATGCATAATCTATTATGCTGGGGAGTGCTTTTTTTTTTTTGCAATTTGACTGCTAAATCCATATAGCACCAAGGGTGGTATCCAATTAGCCCTTCTGCCAATGGAATGGCTTTTGACAGTAGAAGAGGGCCAGAGCCAGTTTCTCCCTTCAACTCTCTGCATGCTGTTTCCGACTGCCCTAGAGGGTTGGGAAGCTCTTCTTTGTCAGGTGGACAAAGAAACTGCAAGGAGGAAAGAGGGGAAATAATAGCACAGGATTAAGTCCATTCATGCAACCCTGAATTTAACCTCAAGATTCTACACTGACTGTTTAATGTGCACATTGCTGAGATGTAAACATCCTGAGTGATGGGAAACATGTTTTGTATGTAGAAAGTCCCAGTTTCAATCCCCAGTATCTCCATTCTATCTGGGAACAGACAGTCATCCTTTTGGTATTGCCAATCGCTAGGATTATTAATAAAAACAAGCATTGTGTACTGCCTTGAGATCAGTGCTAGAGATCAGATTTTAAATTTTCACTCAGCCATGGAACCCACTGATGACTTTGCATAAGTCATATTCTCTGAGCATCAGGTAAAGGTAATAGCAAGCTTCCTCTTAACAAATCTTATCAGGAAAACCTGTGATAGAGCTGCCATTAGCCAGAATCAACACGGAGGCACATAACAAAAGATTATGAAGCCATAACTACCTCAAGGATTTGAGGTAGCAACTGCTGTAAGCCGCCCTAGGTCCCCCTCCGGGGGTGAGAAGGACGGGGCACAAATGCCCTAAATAAATAAATAAATAAATAAATAAAATGTCAAATAAGGAAAAAAGATATTTCAACTTACCCCAGGTGGCTTGTAGATTATGTTGTCTCCACTAAATCGCTCTGCTTTAGATACAGACCTAAGGCAGATATGTGCCATTTAAGATTATGTAGCTCACTTAGAAAAAACATAGTAAAACAGTCTCTTCTGCAAATTATGCTGTTATTTTCCCATTACTATATGAGTGAGTGTGACGATGATATAACTAAAGCATAAATTATTTATTTATTTATTTAATTATTTATTTAGGGCTTTTATATCCCGTCCTATCTCAACCTCCGCAGAGGGACTCAGGACGGCTAACAAATCATCACCCCATGGCGCCCACATCAAAAACATTGATACACAATTTAACGGCAATATAGTAACAATATAAAACAGTAAAAACAATATAAAAAGTATAAAAACAGTATAAAAACAATCAATCCATCAGTCAGCAGTCACCAGTTTAAATCATCATCCAAAAGGCAGTCCATCAGTTCTATATAAGTCAACATGTCAGCAAGTCAGCCTAATCTACGAAGGCCTGATCCCATAGCCAGGATTTTACTTGTTTCCGGAAGGTCAAGAGAGATGCAGCGGATCTAATTTCACTTGGGAGGGAATTCCATAGCAAGGGGGGCCAACACAGAAAAAGCCCTGTGTCTTGTCACCGCCAGATATGATTGCGACAATGGGAGAACAATGAGCCGGGTCTCCCCAGATGATCTTAGGGCCCTAGGTGGATCGTAGTGGGAGATACGTTCGGACAAGTAAAATGGGTCAGAACTGTTCAGGGCTTTATAGGCCAAAGCCAGCACTTAGAATTGTGCTCGGAAGCTAATAGGCAGCCAGTGGAGCTGGCGTAACAAGGGCGTTGTGCGCTCCCTGTACTCCCTGTAAATATGAGGGAAATGTCTCTAGGCACAGGCTTTATAGGCAAGTAGTCCTGCATAATATTTTACAGCCCAGATAATAAGATTTCTCAGGAAAAGGTATCTGAAACAAGACATTATGTAAATCATATATTCATAAATGTCAAATCCATGGATCAAAAGTTGATATCTGGTAGTTAATACATCAACTTATAACCCACCTCACAGGATTTTTGTAATGTTAAGGGGGAAAAAAATCTTACCCAAAGGCAGCAAGGAAGACACAGTCGTCATGCAAAATATTTGCTACTCTTTCAAATATCCTGTAATTATCAGAGTCCTTTTGTTCAAAATATCCAATAATGTTTCTTTTGCTGCGCTGTAACACAAAACAATATAAAGCACTGAGCTGTTGAAAAAAAATAACAAGCCATTTCAATTTATACTACCGCCCTTGAGATATTGAAAAGCACAAGGCATATCTCAGCTAACTACCGTATGCTCAAGTATAAGCCGACCAGAATATAAGCCGAGGCATCTAATTTTACCACAAAAAACTGGGAAATCTTATTGACTTGAGTATAAGCCGAGGGTGAGAAATGCAGCCGCTACTGGTCAATTTGACAGATGGCCACTCAGTCTTCTGTCATTCCCCCCCCCCCCCCAATTGTGGAGCACGAGCTTTCCTCAGCGGAGGCAGAGGATGGGGGAGCCCCTGCGGCAGGCTTTTCTGCAGGCTTGCTCTCCTTCTTCCTTGTCCCATGCGCCGCTGCGGTGTCAGCGGCGGGAGGAAGCAGAAAAGCTGCACATGGGGCAAGGGGAAAGTGCGTGCCACTCCCCTTCCTCTCTTGCCGCGCGCGCACCTTCTTCGGCGGCGGAGGCAGGAAAGACGCGCGAAGGAAAAGGGAAAGGTGTGCACCTTTCTCTCCTCCCATGCCCTGTGCGTGCCTTTACTGCCGTTGCCGAGGAAGGTGCACACAGGGCATGGGAGGAGAGAAAGGCGAGCACCTTTCCCTTCTCCCTTGCATGTCTTTCCTGCTTCCGCCGGCGAAGAAGATGCTCGTGCAGCAAGAGAGGAAGGTGAGCAGCGTGCACTTTCCCCTCCCCCTATTCTGGCTTTTCTGTTTTCTCCCGCTGCTGCCCCCACCACCACGGCCACGCATGGGACAAGGAAGGAGAGCAAGCCTGCGGAAAAGCCTGCCGCAGGGGCTTCCTCCTCCTCTGCTGCGGCTGCCGAGGAAAGCTTGCCTTTCCCTCCTCGTTCTGTGCGAGGTTTCCTCGGCGGAGAAGGAAGCTGTGGCCGTGGAGCTTGTCTACGGCCTTGCTTTCCTGCAGGCTCAGAGGAGGGAAAGACATGAAGGGAGTGAGGGAGGAGGAGAGGTGAGGATCCTGGTGGGAAGACATGGGGAAAGGCCTCTTCTTTCAGCCCCCCACACACCTTGACTTGAACAGCAGCCGAGGGGAGGTTTTTTAGCCTGAAAAAAGGCTGAAAAACTCGGCTTATAGTCGAGTATATATGGTAAGTCTCTTTCATTATGTATTGCTGCATAGCAGGAGGTTGGACTGAATGACCCTTCTGGTCTGTTCCAATTGTAATTCTATGACAATAGAGCTCTTTTTACGAAGTCTTTTTGTACTGTTCTTTCTGCCTTATCCTCTGTCAAGCAGAACTTTTCAGCAGCATTGTTATTGGGAGGATGGTGAAGGTAAAGGATGGTTGAATAAAATAGATATGTGGTAAACAATGCAATAAAGCTTGAGCTGGAAAAGAATGGGATTCTACTCCAGGTGATTCTACTGCAACTGGATGCATGTGACTATAGAAGGCAATGTAAACAATAGCTGCCTCCAGAATCTCTGATATCAATAGTGAGAAAAAGAAAGAGCAGATAGGTCTGCCTGCAGCATGTTTTAAAAAGCATAGATCTATAAATATGATAACCAAAATGGTAATCATAAGAAAAGTGGACGCTGATGGAAGAAAAAAATTATCTCTGGGGATATTTGGAAGAAGCTTTTAAGTGGTCTTTAAAAGTGTGTTTGTTCACTTTCGCAAGGCTTATATATACATTTCATAAATGCATATCATTCAGCTCTCCTTTTTTGTGATATAGTATTCTTCCCCTATTATTTCCATATTACTCCTACTCCAGTACCATTTTTGGTTGATGCAACAGTACCCTAGAATACATTTACTTCAATACCTGGGGTATTCAATTTTTTAAAAATGAAGTACCTGAAGATACAGAGGAGTAGGTATTATTTTTACAGTGCTACAATTTCTGTGAACATTTTCTTTTTGTTGCAATATCAAATACAAATATGAAGGATCATTTACACTAATAAGAAATGTCATAAGTGGACAATATACATTTCAATAATATGCATAGCCATTTCAACATACCACAAATACATGCACACAGAGGGAGACTCACATCAAGAGAGTTAATTTCTTCCAAGTTTAGCACTTCTTGAATGGGATTACTTTTCTGTTGTCGGATGTAATCTGCTATTGCTGTCACTGATCTCTGGCCCCGATATTCCCTCTTCATCATCATTCCATTTCGGAACAATTTTAGGGTTGGATATTTGCTTATTCTGTACCTTTGAGCAATATCAGCTGAAAAGCAATTTGAAAGCATTTGAAAGATAGGAGAACTGAAGTGTCTATCATTAGCAATCATTCCACATAAACATATATGTTTGGTATCATTCTCCTTACTCCATATTTTAAATAATATCTCCGTAATCCCATGTGTTTATGGAATATGGGTCTAGCAGAATCCTAAATAATGTATCTATACATATTTTTTTCATTTTAAACCCCAGATATCATTCTGCATAACTATACCGGTGTATTATAAATAGATCTTAGTACAATGTTGTGTTTTTGATGTGTAACCATTATCAAATACATTCTAGCCACAATGTTAATATTAGAAACATTTTTTTCTAAGTGTACCAAAATGACAGTTACCAAATACAGCATTATGTGCTCCAAAAGTTAGGTGTCAAACCCCAGATCAGAAGTACAGGCAGCAAAGAATCTCACTGCTTCTGGCTATTTCACAAATGAGAACATTCTAAATAGTCACACTTTTAATAACATACTTGTCTTCACTTCAAGAACCTGTGCTACTACTGTAATTGGTTTTTGACTGGAGTAATTTACCACTTTAGTTTATTGGAAAAATTAGCTTCATTAGTGGGTAATCACCAACATTTTTAAATTGCTGACATTCCTAAATTGCTGACATTCCTAATTTCATCTGTCTCACATTTTCTTTAAAGCTTCTCTTAGGCAGCAATAACTATTTTAAGGTCTCTCAAGTCAGTAACTATGCTTCAAAGAGATGTATCAAACAGGTTAAACTAAACATAACGAAAAGAACAAAATTATATCTAAGACATAAGATATAATTTTTCCTCTGCTGGAATGTGTCCAGAGGAGGGTGAATAAAATGATCAAAGGTCAGGAGAACAAGCCCTAAGAAAAGCGAATTAAAGAGCTGGGCATGTTTAGTCTGAAGAAGAGAAGGCTGAAAGGAGACATGATAACAATGTGTAAATATGTGAGGGGAAGTCCAAGGGAGGAGGGAACAAGCTTGTTTTCTGCTGCCCTGGAGAGTCTGAGTGAAAGATGGTCTACCCTAGCAAACCTTTTGTATTGATACCCCAATACCCCCATGCATATGGGATATATTGAGTATGGTGATCAGATCATGATATGAATAAACATAACAGTTTAAATAATGCACCAGTAAGGCCTTTTAGCGAACCACCATGAGAATTTGGGGGGGGGGGCTGAAGCCCCGCAAGCCCCCCCCCCCCCCCCCTGAGGGGAAGCCATAGGGTGGAGGGAGCAAGCTTGTTTTCTGCTGCTCTGGAGATTAGGATGCGGAACAATGGCTTCAAACAGCAGTAAAGGAGATTCCACCTGAACATGAGGAAGAACTTCCTGACTGTGAGAGCTGTTCAGCAGTGGAACTCTCTGCCCCGGAGTGTGGTGGAGGCTCCTTCTTTGGAGGCTTTTAAACAGAAACTGAATGGCCATCTGTTTGAGGTGTGATTTTCCTGCTCCTTGGCAGGGGGTTGGATTGGATGGCCCACCATGTCTCTTCCAACTCTATGATTCTATGACAGTTAAAGAACAGCTTATATCATTTTCCTGTGCTAGGTATATGACACAAGACAAGAGACAGCTAGGGTAAAGGTAAAAAGAGAGAGAGATGAAACAAAAACAACTTAATATGTTGTATAGATGAGAAAAAACAAGAAACAAACACAGCTTGTCTTGAAAGATCTCACTGTATATACTGATAAAGCCTTTTTGAAGACAATAATTTTATCTGTCCAGTGTGATCATTTGTGTTTTAATGTTTGATTTTATGCTGCTGTGTTGCTTATTGATATTGGTTTTGCATTTTATGTAATTTACTTCCTGATTTTCTGTTGTGTTTTTGTGTTTATATTGTGTTTACTGTATTGATGGGCGTGGCCTTATGTAAGCCGCCCCGAGTCCCCTTGGGGGAGATGGAGGCGGGATATAAATAGAGTTTATTATTGGTATTATTATTATTATTATTATTATTATTATTATTACTTCCAAGAGTCTGGAGCCCTGATTTCAGTATTCATCTTAAGTCAATAGAGAGTTTACGGTACAGTACAGTATGGGGTACAGTATTAGTGAGACCAATTTTTAGCAGTAACTTTCAAGCAACCAGAAACTAGATTTATCTGGCATCTACCAATCTCCATGGGTGCCAGTTAACTCACAGTATACTATACTTGGGTAAAATGTTATAATAGCTTTTAATCTATAATAGGAATGTTTACTGGAGTAGAAGAGTTTTGCAAGGAAGTGCCAGATCAATGTCGAGGCACTAAACATAACCACAAATGACCACAGATCTGTATAACTGCCGGATTTTGTCTCCTTATGGAAAATCTTGATTGCTGGTATTACCAAACAATAGGATAACCTGGGGCATGTGAGGGTAAACCAAGCTTAATTTTGTCAAGGAAATCCGCATAGGAAAATTTGCTCAAAACTCCCACTGTTATATCCAGGTACAAGCTGAAACATTCCCCATGACAAAATGTGCAGAAAATTAGCTGTATTCTAGTAGGCAGTTCAACATTACATTTTCCCACCAAATATATCACATTCACAAACTATATGGAAACTATATGGAAACACCAAAAATGAGGTCCAATATTGGTAAAGAATAGTCAGTAGTCGGTAGGAGTACATAAACACTGTGTACTTCTCTTTCACAAAATATAAAAAATGCAAGGACATGAAATGCTGTTTGAATTCATTCACAAATCAAATAGAGAACATTTTAAATAGTTTCATTAAACCCTGACACTTGATACAACTAGAGCTAACACAATCAGAACTACTTTAATATACTTTTAAAATTGAAAATATAGAAAAGCAAACAGAGCAAAGTTATGGCTGTTTTATTCATCAATATATGTTATAGTTCATGCTTAAAATATTCTTAGACATTCCCATTCATATCAAAATTGCTGCTCTTTGAAACAGATAGAGCTGCCACATTGAAGAATGACAATTGGATTTACAGAGAAAGAAGCAAAATCAGGGAGTAAAAAGGTGAGGGTAAGTTTTGAGCTATATATTCAGTCTGAAATCCAGTAAACCCCTCTATATATGTGCATGAGCTTCAATATGCCTAGAGCATTTTGCTTATTTTAATGTTAATATTTAATGTTGTATTTTATTAATATCCTTCCTTTCTAACAAAGTGGCACTCAAGGCACTCAGCAATAATCCAACATAAATTATTTTTTTACGAGAATCATTATTAAGATTTTATTTTTAACAAGACATTTTATGAAACCACACAAAAGATACAATTACCAATTAAAAACAACAATTAACAATACAGACAACTGTCAGATCCCCTTTAGATGCAAGGCCATCTTACCTGCCTGAATAAAATATATAGTATAATAGTATAAAATAGTATAATAAGTAGCAGAACTTGAAAGAGGCCACCAAGAAATTTTTCTCATGTCCCTTAAGAAGTGCCTCAATGTTGATAAGAGCAATAAGACCCTCTACTGAAGATACTAAAATCCACACAGGCTTATATAGAAGAAAGTAGTTTTCCAAATAACTTGCTTTCAAGAAATACAGAGCTTTATATGTCACAAGTCTTTGAGTAACTGTTTTTCTTTCATTCTAAGACTCACATTTTCCCCATAGAAATGGGGTACATCTTAGAATTACGGGTATATATATAAAGCATTTTTCCTGTTGGTAATATAGTGTGCAGGAGCCCCTGGTGGCGCAGCAGGTTAAATTGCTGAGCCCCTGAACTTGCAGTTCAAATCTGGGGAGCAGGGTGAGCTCCCGCTGTTAGCCCCAGCTTCTGCCAACCTAGCAGTTTAAAAACATGCAAATGTGAGTAATTATTATTATTAATAATAATAATTTAAAAAAACTACAGACGTCAATATCAGGAGAGGAATTTTCCAGGGAGACTAATTGTCCTCACTGCTTTTCATCATTGCCATGACCCCTCTGTCAACAATCTTACAAAAAAACAAACCTTGGCTATCAAACGTCTAAGAAATCTCACAAAATTTCACATCTGCTCTACATGGATGACCTGCAGTTGTATGGGAAAACCAAAACTGAAATCCAGTCTCCGACTAACACTGTCCGAATCTTTAGCACTGATATCAACATGGAGTTTGGTTTGGACAAAGGTTCGACAATGGCACTGAACAAGGGTTCCCTTTTTTCTAATTCTTTATCTTAAGTTCCTTTGGGAAATCTTTTTCCATTATTATTGGTATTACGACCGAATTCTTATTAATTAGTTTACCTTTATGTTTTCTCCATATTTCCATTACATTTCTTAATGATATATTTCCAACCTGTTTTATCTCTTTCTTTGAAATTTCCTTTAAAAATATATTGTCTTAATGGGTCCTCCACCCCTGCAGAGGTTCGAGAACCCATGGTGCCCATCTCCATTTCTAATCCAAAGAGCTGGCATAGATGCTTCCAAGGTCATGTGGCCAGCATGACTGCATGAAGCGCTGTTACAGTCCCACCTGAGAAGTACCTATTGATCTACTCATATTAGCATGTTTTCGAACTGCGAAGTTGTCAGATGCTGGGGCTAACAGCGGAACCTCACCCCACTCCCCCAGACTTGAACCGCCGACCTTTCAGTCAACAAGTTCAGAGTCAGACATAACTAGACTTAATGTCAAGGGGAAATCTTTACTAATATAATGTGTGTCTTAGAATCAAAGACGGATGGCTTGCCTAGAAAAAGACGGGTAGCCAAGCTTCTCTAAAAAGGGATCCACATGATCCCTGTAACAAGACTATGGCTGCAGCATTCTGAACAGTTTCCCAAAGCATCCCCATACAGAACTTACATTATTCCAAATAAAATTTAACTATGGCATGTATCATCATGGTCAGATCTAACAGTAATTCCAACTCTTGGCACACGGGTTTTCCCTTTGAAAATTCCCTCTTGATCACAGTCATTGCCTGGGTATCAGAGCCTGGAGTTCACTTGAACTACAACCTCGGAACTATAAAGATAATGTAAGAATAAATCCAATCCCAATACCAGAAAAAAGAGCAAAACAATTTAGAAACAAAGGAAAGAGATAATTTGATGTTATCAACATGCCAACACTTCACCCTCACCCCGCAAACATGGCAAAACCAGTGCTAATTCCATTTAACTGTCAAGATCAAGACATCAAAGTAGGAACTTTCAGGAGGTAACCTCTGCATGGTGGGGACTGATTTGTATGGTCCAATACAAAATACAGTTTAATCCAGACCGTTTTCTGATACTTCTGGTGGCATTTCCAGTAGTTTTATCAGACCCTGCCACTGATTGTAAAATGAAAGTATTCTATGGTATAGATTCAACTGCTCTTAAATATCCCCAAACCATGCTATAAAACTAGGTACAGGCAGTCCCCAAGTTATGAACAAGATAGGTTCTGTAGGTTTGTTCTTAAGCTGAATATGTATGTAAGTCAGAACAGGTACATTTTTAAAATATATATGGTATATTTTAGCTTTGGATAGCATAGGGAAGTTAATACCCCGGCGGAGTTTGTTTTGCTGCCTGTGCCCCTATTCAGAAGATTTTACCTTATTTTCCCTCCCTGTGATAATTGGATTTTTTTTAAATGGTTTGTTGTGGAAACAAGGATTGGTGACAACCTTTCCCTGTGCTAACTCTTTCAGGGGTGAATTTCCCTTCCTAGCGATAGATTTCTCAAACTTCCTGTTGTCTCATTCCTGTTCTTAACTATGAGTCATTTGTAAGTTGGCTGTAAGAAGCATATTTGATATGGGTTGTTGTAGGTTTTTTCGGGCTATATGGCCATGTTCTAGAGGCATTCTCTCCTGACATTTCGCCATCATCTATGGCAAGCATCCTCAGAGGTAGTGAGGTCTGTTGGAACTAGGAAAAAGGGTTTTATATATCTATGGAATGACCAGGGTGGGACCAAGGACTCTTATCTGTTGGAGCTAGGTGTGACCACCTTGATTAGCATTTGATGGCCTGGCAGTGCCTGGGGCAATCTTTTGTTGAGAGGTGATAAGATGTGCCTGATTGTTGTTTGCTGTTGTAATTTTGGGGTTTTTTAATACTGGTAGCCAGATTTTGTTCATTTTCATGGTTTCCTCCTTTCTGTTGAAATTGCCCACATGCTTGTGGATTTCAATGGCTTCTCTGTGTAGTCTGACATGGCCTTCAACAATACATATTTGATATCATGGAAGAGTACAACTGATTCATTACCTAATGTGCCAAAACAAAAAGACTTTTCTTGCAGACTTCAGTTTCAATTTTGGGGAAAAATCAGAAGGAATTATCTACCTCACAACTAGGTTATAAAATACCTTCCTTCAATAGGAAACAGTGTACATATTAAAACCTTCCTCTTCTTTTAAAGAAAAGTATAACCACTTTATCAGTATCGCTTCCCTTGGTCAAATATAATTGCTCTAAAGACACTTTGATACTTAATTTGTTCAGCTATATTTAAAACAGTAACATAAAATAAAGTATTCATAAAATGAATTACTCACAGTGCTGATCACAATCTACTCTGGCAAATACAACTTGATTCTTATTTGGAAAGTCTTCATTAATAACATTAGAAGCTTCTTCAAAAATAGGATGCAGCATTTGACTGAATCGACACCTGTTGAAAGGGAAAACATCAAGTAAGCAGAATTTACTAAAAAAAGAACTCGTTGAAAAAAAAGTCACTCTAACTATGCAGGTGATGTATTAGGTACAATAAAATTCTACAACATATGAGAAAACAGATTTCCCTGTGGAAGAAAGTAAAGAATGAGCTAGGTTGGACATATGTGAATGCAAGGTAAAAACAATTATTAAGTTTCCCCCTTCAGTGAGGAGCAGGAGAGGAGCCCCAAGAAGTATACAGATCTTTGGAGTCTTTAATCTTGTAGAATGAGATATCATTTGGCAATATGAACAAAGTATAGTGAATGGTTTTATACCAGAATTTGAGAAAATGCATCTGAAATATAATTTTCAATATATTATATCTTGTGTTGCTTTTTGTTCTATAATTTTAAAGGGTTAAAAACAACAAGTTACACTAAAAAAAAGTTACACGAGAGTAAGGGTCTTCTCCATGGCTGGCCCACACCTCTGGAACTCCCTTCTTAAGGAGTTAAAGATAGCTCCCTTCCTCCCCGTCTTCAAGAAACAGCTGAAGATGTACCTTTGCTCACTGGCTTATGAGGAGGAGGAGGATTAGTAGTTGGTTATACTACCATTATACCGCTGATTAATAACTACCATCCGTATCCATGCCCTGTTCGCCCCACCAGCTCAATAGATATCTTGAGCAATGAAAAATCCATTTGCTCCCAAGGAACTGGGAAATTGATGCCTTTGCTCAATGTTTGATGTTTTGTCTTAAGTCTAATATAACAAGTTGCAGTTTTTTAAATTTTATTTTTAGTTGTTAAGTCATAAATTGTTTTTATATGTTGGGTTGCTAAATTTTGTTACTATGGGTGTATTGTTGTTGTGTTTGGGCAATAAATGTTGGCCTTTTCTGTTTGAAATCCACCTTAAGTCCCTCCTGGGAGATAGGGCAGAATATAAACAAAGGTTTTATTATTTATTTACGACGTTTATATGCCGCCCTTCTCACGCCAAAGGGGACTCAGAGCGGCTTACAAGTAAAATGAAAATACAATATATTATATCATTACCATAGCACAATATTAATATTTTATATTATTATATTATACTATAACATTATACTGTAATATTATTAGTAATATTACATATAATATAAATATATAGTAGTAGGAGAAAACGTGGCTTAGAGAATGATGAGGATCAGCAACAGCTGAAAAGGATCAGGGATTTGTTTTTGGAGACTACTGATGAAGAGGATTTTATGGGCTTTACTCAAGAGGAGATGGAGCTAGAGAGTTACAGGGGTGTAAAAAGAGTAGCCAGCAGCTCTAATAGCGATGTGGGGTCTGTTGCCAAACGTCCGAAAGACATAGCTGATTGTACAGACTTTGACAGCGAAGACGAAGAGCTAGACTGGGCTAAAGTTCAAGAAGTGATGGATGTTTTTAACGCCCCTACATCTAGCGATGAATTCCAGGGTTTTAATGATGTTAACTTGCAGGATGAGACCCGAAATGCTGAATGGCTGCAGTGGCGTGGCATCGACTCACCTGAAGAATTGGATCCAGCTGGAAGTAACTCCAGCGATTCAGATGAAATTTAAGGAGCAGTCTGAGAGCCATCTAATCGCAGAGTTCAAAGTGTCGCATGCTGTGTGCTTTGTGTTTACTCTTGCCGTGAGCTTTGTTTACAGCTTCGTGTTCCTGCCTGTGGAATCATCCCTGTCGGATCCTGCCTTGTATGTATGCCTTGTTCTGACTCCTGGACCGTCTGACTACGCCTCTGCCTTGCCCCTGGATCTTCGTTGGACCGCTCTCCATACGGAGGGTCGTTTGCTGAGTTATAGCTGTTGTTTTGGACTACGTTTGAATGCTGAAGCCAAACTGACTGTCTGTGTTTAAGACTGCCTTTTCCTTGTGCTGACTGAAGCTATTTTGTTTACGTTCTGCTGACTGCAAGCTCCTTAATTTATGACTCTGAAGTTAAGAGGTCTTTTGTTTTGTTAAAGAGACATTAAACAACCTCAATTAGCTCCTGCTTAGCTGCTTTGTTCTACCGCCGGACCTGAGTCTTGACAGATTGAACTCTGCCAGAAACAAACTCAGCAGGAGTCATGGCATCTCTTGGGGAGCTGGCAGCCCAATTAGCTTTGTTACAAACGCAGTTTGATGAACTCCGTGGGGGAGGACCAGCTGGCGGGCCGCGCACGGCTCGCGCTATCGTTCCTGAGCGCTTTAAAGGAGATAAAGATGAGTTGCCTTTGTTTCTAATGCAGACTGAAGTTTATTTTAAACAAGTGCCTGCAACTGCTTATCCTACCGCTGACAGTAAAGTTGCTTTTGTTATCAGTTTGCTCTCCGGTCGAGCGGGTAAGTGGGCAGTAAATTTAGTTAATAGCCAAAGCCCCTTACTGAGCAATTATGCTGGCTTTTTGGACTCTCTTAAGGAGACGTTTGGAGACCCTCTTCAGGCAGAAAATGCCAGCCGTGAGCTATATGCTATTCAGCAAGGGAAGGAGTGTGTGCTGGACTATTTGAATCGTTTCAATCATTTGAAACAGCATTTGGACTGGGGCGAGAAAGCCTTTATGACTTGCTTCACAGAGGGGCTTGCTCCAGCTCTAAAAATTGAATTGGCACGCTTTGAACCACCAGAAACCTGGGAGGCGTTGACTAAAACGGCTCTTCGACTGGAGAGGAGACAGAACATGCTGAGGAAGGAGGGCTATTTCCAGCCGCAGTTCCAGTCTACCCCCTCCCCTCAAGTCACCGCCGCTGCTGTCTGTTCCAGTCTGGATTCCGAGGAGCCCATGCAGCTGGGGAGTCAACGCCGGTTATCCAGGGAGGAGAAGCAGAGACGGCGTCAGCTCAATTTATGTTTGTATTGCGGAGCGGGGGGCCATTTCGCCCGCAGTTGTCCGGCCAAGGCTCCCAGGGAGCAGGGAAAAGGCCAGCCCTAATGTGCACTGGGGCAAGCACATTAGGGCCAGCGGTTCAGTGGCCCCGGTGTAAAGACCATGTGTTTTTACCCATTGAACTCTGTTCTAACCAAGGCAATAGGTTCTCCACTTGGGCCCTAGTGGACTCTGGGGCAACCGGGTCTTATATGGACACAAGCTTCGCTATGGACCATCATATTGTGTTACAAAGGAAGCGCCAGCCAGAGTGGGTGGAAGGAGCAGATGGTGCTCTAGTGGGCCACCGGTCTGTTACTATGGAGACTGGGCCCCTGAGGTGGGAGGCTCAAGGTATAGAGGGTCGGTTTTCCTGGGATGTGATTAACTTGCCTAGGTATACCATCATCCTAGGCATGGACTGGCTGTCCAAGATTAATCCCAGAATAGACTGGCAAGCCAAGACCATTACCTTAGCACCACCTGTATGTGGAACGTTGGCAGTAAGTCCAACGGATGTGGAAGGTGTTCCTGAATGCTATAAAGACTTTTATGATGTGTTTAGCAAGGTACAGGCTGACAATCTTCCACCCCATAGGCCTTATGACTGCCAGATAAAGTTGATGGAGGACGCCAAGTTGCCTGCGGGCAGGCTTTACGCTTTGTCTCTTCCAGAACGCCAGGCCTTGAAGGACTACATTGAGGAGAATCTGGCCAAAGGGTTCATCCGTCCGTCCAGTTCTCCCACGGCGGCTCCAGTGTTCTTCGTGTCCAAGAAGACGGGTGATTTACGTTTAGTTTGTGATTATCGTATTTTGAATAAGTTTACCATCCGGGACCGTTATCCGTTGCCTTTGATTCCTGAGTTATTGTCTCGTGTTCAGGGCGCATCTGTTTTTTCGAAGTTGGATTTAAGGGGCGCCTATAATTTGCTCCGGATTAAGGAAGGCTACGAGTGGAAGACCGCCTTCAACACTTATCTCGGGGCTTACGAATATTTAATCATGCCTTTCGGATTATGTAATTCGCCAGCTGTGTTTCAACGCTTAATGAACGATGTGTTTAGAGATTTATTAGATAAATTCATGGTTTGTTATCTCGATGACATCTTGATCTACTCAAAGGACCTTCGGCAGCATCGAGAACATGTGAGGACGGTGCTGCAGAGGCTTCGGAAACACGGTCTGTTCGCCAAGGCTTCTAAGTGTGTTTTTCATGTCCCGGAGGTGGAGTTTCTGGGACACATAGTCTCTGGGCGGGAGGTGAAAATGGACCCGCATAAGGTGGACGCTGTCCAGTCCTGGAAGGAACTCGCCTCAAAGAAAGATGTGCAACGTTTCCTAGGTTTTGCTAATTATTATCGAGACTTTATTCCCCATTATGCAGAAATCACCGTGCCGCTGACTCGCCTCCTGAAAAAGGACCACCCATTCGTATGGACTAAGGAGGCTCAGAGAGCATTCGAGACCATCAAATGCAGTTTCGCTGATGGGAGAGTCCTGTGTCAACCAGATGTGGACCGTCCTTTTGTGGTTGAAGCTGATGCCTCCAACTACGTGTTGGGAGCTGTCCTGTCCCAGTTAGACTCCAAGGGTATCCTTCGGCCTTGTGGCTTTTACTCTCGCCAATTGTCTCCCTGTGAACAGAACTATACAATTTGGGAGAAGGAGTTACTGGCGATTAAGGTTGCCTTCGAGGTTTGGAGGCACTGGCTCGAAGGTGCCAGGCACCAGGTGGTGGTGCGGTCTGATCACCGTAACCTAGAACATTTGCTAACCGCTCGCAAATTGAACCAGCGCCAAATTCGTTGGGCTATTTTTTTTAGTCGTTTTGATTTTCGTGTTGAGTTCATTGAGGGGAAAATGAACTTGAGGGCGGATGCTTTGTCTCGGAAATCTGAATATAAGACTGATGTGGCACCCGTCCTGCAGACTGTGTTACCTACAGCGGCTCTCAATTTAATGGAGGGTGCGGGTGATCTTTGTGACCAGGTCAAAGCAGCGCAAGCTGAGGACATTTGGACTCAAGAACAGCTCACCTTGTTAGCAAATGGCCAGAAGTCTGTACTCCCTAATCTTCGCAATGAGGGTGGGATTTTGTTGCGCAGAGAGCAGCTCTACGTTCCTGCAGGTAGTTTACGCCTTGAGATTCTTAGATCCCACCATGATGAACCGGCTGCAGGTCATTTTGGGAGGTTTAAGACCGTGCAACTAATCACTAGAAATTTTTGGTGGCCAAAAATGAGGCAGGACATTTTACAGTACTGTGACAGTTGTGCCGTCTGCCAGCAATGTAAACATGCTCCTGGAAGGCCTAGTGGCCTGTTATCCCCTTTGCCGGTGCCTGAGAGACCTTGGCAGGTCATTTCTATGGACTTCATTACTGATCTCCCCAGGGCACGGGGATACGCCTGTATTTGGGTAGTAGTGGACTTGTTTTCTAAAATGGCTCATTTTGTTCCGTGTGCGAAAGTTCGCACAGCACCTGGGTTGGCCCAGCTCTTTATGAAGCATGTGTTTAAGTTACATGGGGCTCCGGACACTATAATTTCAGATCGCGCCCCTCAGTTCGTGTCGCGATTCTGGAAGCAGTTCCAGGCCCAGATGGGCACGAAGCTCAATATCTCTTCTGCTTTTCATCCGCAGACTGATGGCCAGACGGAACGTGTGAATGGCCTTTTGGAACAGTATTTGCGTTGTTTTTGTTTACAGCAAGCTGGGGATTGGGTGCAGTGGCTTCCTGTGGCTGAATTCGCCTACAACAATGCTACCCATGCCGTCAGTCGCCATTCCCCTTTTGAGTTGGTTTATGGTATGCAGCCTAGGTGGGGGTCGGCTCCGGTGCATGACATTGTTTCCACGGACCCTGTGTACCGTTCTAACGAATTTCTTGCTTTGCATGATGTTGCCCGGCGTATTCTTGTGGAAGCTAAGGATGCTCAGAAAGCACAAGCTGATAAACATCGGCAGGCGGGTGCTGAGCTCCAGGAGGGGGATTTGGTTTGGCTCTCTTCCAAGCATCTCAAGCCGTCTGGGGGCAAGTTTGCGCCTCGTTATGTGGGACCCTACCCTATTGTCAAGCAGATTTTGCCTGTGGCTTTCCGTTTGCGTTTACCTCCTTCTTTGAAAGTGCATCCTGTGTTCCATCGCTCTATGCTCAA